TTTGCTCATTGCTTGCAATAGGTTGATTTATTTTATTCAGGTTAATTTATAATTTATGAGTTTTTTTAGGAATTTTTAGGAAAGGAAGCCGTAAGGTCACCCAATAGGCAAATACATTTCGACAGGTTCGGTTTATTCTCTAGTAACATATGTTACACACACTGATGCGATTTATACCTATAAATTTTATCAGCTTGAAATTATGTAAGCAATTGTCCGGATGTTTAATACACACCACCCTCGGTCTCCCTAGGCAAAAGAAAATGGAATTTCGGAGGCATGAGTTTTTCATATTGCAAGAAGGGTTTTGCAAACCTTCGGTACGATATGAGCGGTTTTCTCTGAAAGTGGTGACAGTCCACTTTGAAAAAAAAAGTTAATGATAAAATGAATACAATTTTCCATAAACGGTTTCCAAAAAAATCTGTTTAATTTTTGAACAAAAAAACTAATTTTAATAAATGAATATTGAATATATTTGCTTAACAAGTGAAAAATTAATGTAAGACGTAAGTAAACAATGAAGCCAATAGATTCTAAACGACCAACCTCACGGGCATAGAAGCGTGGAGAGTTTGATATACACGGTAACATGCGAACATGCAAAGCTGTTGAAGACCGTTTTAATGGGCACCGCCCGAAGGACGGTTCACAAAATATCCCCCTTAGTTGGGGCATGTTTTGTGGGACGGTTCCCGGAAAAGGAAATATTTTTATAGACAAAGGCTGACTTAAATTCCGATCGTCCTAGTCAAGGGCTTTGTACTAACGGCAAACGAGAACTTTCTAAAATTCCTAGCAATCAGGGACTGAGCTCATTACAACTTCCTCCCAACGCGAAGAATATGGGTTAAATTTGACTGAAATTCCACCCAACCTGGGGGTGGGAATCTGTAAATAAATAAGGGAAAATCCCTCGCGGTACCATTAGTCTAACCTTAGTTCAGTTTGTGGCAAACTTTCTCCATGAGAGAAAGTTTTTTATAACTCTGAAAGAAACAAAATCGTCCACCCGATCCATAAAAGCAGGCGTCCCACAAGGCGCCCAGCTTTCCCCAACTCTTTACAACCTATACACAGCTGATGCTCCAAAAAGTCCCCATTCCAAAATTGTTCTTTTCGCTAAGCCTGGGCCGACACCTTATAATAAATAGAAAAACAGTCAACACGAACACTCCAAAACTAACACTGAACAACACGCAAATCGAATACACAAAGGCAGTCAAATATCTTGGCATAATAATAGACTCTAAGCTAAACTTGTCTCAACACATAAACAAAAGTATTAAAACAGGAATTCAAATTGCCGCCTACCTGCACCTTCTTCTTAATCGCAAAAGCACACTCTCACTACGAAACAAAATTATAATTTACAAACAAGTGATCAGAGCACAAGTTTGTTACGGGACATCTGTCATCAGCCAAACATGCAAATCAACCATAAACACTCCAAACATTACAAAACAAACTCCTACGTCGAATTTCACGCGCTCCTTGGTATATTCGAAACACCAAAATCCACAAAAACCTCGAAATGGAAACGATTCACGAATTAATTTCGAAATTACACAAAAAGTTCAAAACCAAAATCCTCGACCACACAAATCCCCTAATCCAAGAGACTTTTTCCCGAACATCCGAAAACTCCACTTCAAATTTCCCAGTAGTCTAATGGCAGACCCCCCTTGAGAACACCCACCTTAAGCAAAAACTCGGCTTAATGAAAAACAAAATTTAAACACATTAAAGCTAAATAAGGCCAAACCTCAGAACCAGTTTCTTCCAAACTACCCAAAACTTACCTTTTCTTTTTCAGTGGATTTATATTTTTTGTTCTTCTTCTTACTCATTAATCTCAGGCAAATAATCCCCTTCCTCACCCAGGCTCACTCATAGGCCAGCACTAAAGACTAAGGCCCGGTTGCACAAAAGCAAGTTTAACGATGGTTCAACTGAACCGTCAGTTACCGGTGAACCGGAGTTCAATTTTCACGGCTTGTACCACTCCGATCCGAGCTCGGTTCAGTTGAACTCGACTATTCAATTTTTTTCTAGGGTTGGCACTTCCCAATGTCGGTAAAATGTGGTATATTTGGTTTTCTTTGTTTGGCAACTATGTTGTCAGTCCAGCATATTTGAACTGAACCACATCCACATGGTCTGATACTGAATTGATTGAAGCGTATAAGCATTAAAATATATTTTTCTTTAGTTCAGTAGATTCAGTGAAACCTTTCAATTATGGAAGCCATTACGAAATCCGCCCGGTCTACGAATTTTACGTCGAAAGAAGAACATATTTTGGTGGCTCTAGTCAAAAAGTATAAAGCATATATCAAGTGTAAAAAAAACAGATGCAAACCATAATAAAATATATTTTTTTATTTTCTCTGCTACGATCTTAGTAACTTCTTTCGATAATCTAAATTTAAAATTGCGATCGTTTCATTGCAGGAAATGATTTGGTCGCTCCCTATATGCTGATGATGTATTTAAAAATGTTCCTAGGAGTTCCCAACTTCTTCATCGTGTGTTAGTTCACCCAATAGGTCCATTTTCACAAAAAAATGTTTAATATTTATAAACACCTATGTTATGTAAACATAAAATCAACAAAATAAACACATTTAGGTTATACTATGACAGTCTCGGCACTGACGGCCATTTGCACCAGTGAACCTTAGGCTCACCTTAACATAAGAGTGACAGTTAAGTGACAGAATTCGTTTGCACCACTGTCACCTAGCGTTAAGGCGAACCGTAACAGGCAAATAATTTAAGGGGAAGATGAAGTGCCGCTTAAGTGGAACCTAAAGTCAGATTCCAGTCAGATTTGAAGACTAACCTCAAACAGAACTAATATTGCATAATTTTGCAGTTGTAGTATTTTGTTGCAAACAAGTCCATTTGTCATTATCAACCGATAATAATTAGTATATTCCGTGAACTAAACCATTTTATGATGAATGTGTTAAGTAATGATCTGTTCTTTGATAATGATGACAGCGCCCATGTTCGAGTTCCTAGACTAGTTTACGAGAAAACACATTATTTGATAGTTTTGATGATGTTCTGTTTTTTCAACGTGTTTCGTGTACCGCATACCGTACACGGCACTTTTCATATCGAACCTCATAGAAGAGGAAGGTCTATTCTATCTATTTATATGTACCTCTGGTATACTTAAACGATATCTGTTAATTTCTGTTTATAGTCGATGGAGGATATAACATAAGGCGGTATTTATTAACTCCGTTACAACAGCATGCAAATCGTGCAGAACAATTATTCAACGAGTCGCATATACGGATAAGAAATATAGTTGAGCGGATATTTGGTATCTGAAAAAGAGGATTCCCAGTCCTTGCATTCGATTGTCGTCTAAAAATAGATACGGTTTTAATAATAAAATAATTGAGTAGAGAGCAAAATCAGCCACCTGATCGTGAAGATGTTGAACGTTTCATACATCTTATGCAAGAAGAGGAAGTACCTAACATAAGCCACATATATAACAGAAAC